TGAGACAACAGAACAAACTTATAATATCATCAACTTAGTACAACTGTCCGATTACAGGTGTCCAATTACAGCCAACTGTCCGATTACGACAGAATGATTAGTGAAATATAAAGCAGCTAATGCACCAATCACATTTGAGGAAATTGTAATGGTCATGATTAATGGGAAAATCACGCAATTTCAAACGACATTGACGCAAAACGTTCCTCGAGTCGTTGCTTACAAGGTCATAGTTTGCATCCTTGAGTACGGGCTTCGTGCACGCTTTTAGCTATATCCCTTTTTTTCTGATATTTCTTTTTATTTAATTCTTTTTATTTAAAGGGGATAATTTGTACCCGTGGATTATGCAATACAAATTATAGGCCACCGTGCTCGCTCATGAGCGAAAGACCATCGCACTTTTTTACATAATTCCGTAAATTTTTATTGATAAGCAATTTAGAGAGTTAAATATTTACTAATGACTAAATTTTACATTTCACTTGAAAAAACCGATTTGTACGAATGGTGCGATATTTCTTTGCTTACCTATTTTTGACTTTTCCCGCGCAATTTTCAAAGAGCCATGACTTATGTTAGACAGACAAAATAGCCAGACAAAATAATAACAACGAAACCAGCCTCGAAAGTCCGAAACCAGTTATATTTAACGAAAATGACACTGACAAGATTTATCATTTAGACATTTTCATGGTATTTTAGAGAAGAAAAAATCCCAGATTGAAGAATTTCAATTGATCTTCTTAAACGATGAGAGGTAAAAATCTCGGGACTGCTCTTCGAAAGAATAATTAGTGTGTCTACTAATTTTAACTCATCTCTTCCAATCAAGAGTATACATTTGAGGCCGTCTCTGATGTTAATGCCTTCAGTGTTCCAGCAACATCGACACTTGCGCAATCGTCTTTACGGTATAAAGATGGATCACATTCAATGAAGTGGACTTGGGCCAGTGGAGATACAATGACACATACCTTCTCCCCAGCGGTAAGTTTTAACCCTTTG